TATACCAGCTCCCTGAGCTCCACTCTGCTTCTCCAAAACCCAAACCATTCCGTGCTTGTGGAGATTCACAGCGCCCCCTACAGGACACAGGTTCCGCCACCTTTACAGAAGCAAGTTACCTCATCCTCCTCCTGGGAGGCGGCTGGTGGGCTTGAAACGCTGACCTTGTGGCTGTAGCCGAGCGCTTTAACCACGGCCCACATTTAGAATCTGCCTATGTAGAAAGCCAGACAGCCTTGGGCTCACCTGCGTCACCTTTAGGACTCTCAGTTTCGGGCTGTCCCACATCCAACATCTGAAGACAGTTCGTCAGGGGCAGGAGAGCAAGACGGATCCTTGTTTGGCACTGTAGCAGAGAAAACATGCTTACCTCTGTGTAGATTCGAACCACTAACATCTTGGTTAGGAGCTGAGAGCTTAACCATCATACCACCTCGGGCTATCTTTTGAAATACCAAGTGTGCAGACAGCTTTGATCGGCTGCTGAAGACATGAAGGTAACCATTGTCAGACACAGTTAATCAAGAAACATGTTTGTTTTTAGGAACTTTTTTGTCCAAAGCTGTCAGGGACCAGCTGTTGGAGCTTCCAGTGTGAAGGGAGAGGAGCTGAGAGGGCTGTGGTAAGCAGTGCATCCTTGTCTGTTTCAGGTTTTAGATACCTACATGTTCCACTCGTTCCTGAAAGCCCGACTCAGCCGGCGGATGGATGCCTTCGCACACCTGGAGCTCAGCATGCAGTCGGAGGAAGAAAGGTACCACTTCTGTGGGGTGGAGGCGCTTGGCGGCTTTTTTGGGATCCAGGAGCTTAAGTGTTGTCGTTGTTATGTGCCATCGAGTTGGTTCCGACCCATAGCGACCCTGAACAGGGTTTCCAAGGCTATAAATCTTTACGGGAGCAGAAAAACCTCATCTTTCTCCTGAGGAGCAGCTGGTAGTTTCAAACTGCCGACCTTGCGGTTCGCAGCCCAATTCGTAACCACTACACTAGCAGAGCTCCTTAGGAGGTCAAGTTGCACAGTTTTATTTAGGGGACTGTTTTCATGAATTCCACTGGAGGAGCCTTATGATTAGAAATTCCCAGTGAATTGGGCACTAGGGAACCAAACTTCACTTTTATATGCGTGTGCTGTTTTCAGATACTATTGAGTCGGTTCTGACTCTTAGCAGCTCTGTGCGCAACAGAATGAAACACTGCTGGCCCCGTGCCAACCTCGTAATTGTGGCTGTTGCTACTCATAGTGTTTTCATCTTCAGGACAACCCCTGACGATGCCCTGTGGCTATTCGTAAGGTTTTTTGTGGCTAACCGCTCAGAAGTAGTCCAGCTCTCCTTCTTCCTAGTCTGTCTTAGTCTGGAAGCTTTACTGAAACCTGTCCACCACGGGTGACCCTGCTGGTGTTTAAAATACCCGTGGCATAGCTTCCAGAATCACAGCGACATGCAACAGTGCAACCAGCTGACAGATGAGTGGTTGTGTACATATATGTAATTTTTTGTTCTCCGTTGAGTTGGTTCTGACTCATAGCGACCCTGTATCGAGTTTCCAAGGAACATTTGGTGGGTTTGAACCATCGACCTTGTGGTTAGCAGTTCAGTGCATATCCTACAACATATACTTAATATATATACATATATGTATATATATATTCTTACAACATATACATAACACACACATACATATATATTCCTATAACATATATATTCCTACAACATATATATATATATTTGTATGAGGGAAATTCAAAAAGTTTTTTATGAACTCTTTGAACTTCCCCCATGTGTATTTATATGTTGTTGTTAAGTGTCATTGAGTTGGTTCATAGAGACCCTGTACAGGATTTCCTAAGAGTAGCTGGTAGATCTAAACTGCCAACTTTGTGGTTAGCAGTCCAGTGCTTATCCTACAGCGCCACACCAAGATTCCATGTATGTGTGTGTATGTATATGTATGTATATAATACATGTGTGGGTAAACACTGGCCACCAGCCATTCCAAGGGAGAAAGATGAGGCTTTCTGCTCCTACAAAGATGAACAGCCTCAGAAACCTTGTACAGGGCCAGTGTGAGTCAGAAGTAACTTGATGGCGCTGACCAGCAATGCATGTATACACATACATGTATACATATTTACATGAGAATATATACATGTGAAAATAAGTCAAAGTGTTGCAGCTAGGGTTCCAGTTCATGCATGTATGGGTTTATTCCAAGCAAAACCTGTGTAAACCTGGTTAAACCTGTGTAAACATGCCTCTGATGGCTGCAGACAACTTCTCTCAGGAATACATGTGTCTTCGTCTCCTTAGGGTACCTCCAAAATCCACGTCCAATCAAAACAGTGGGTACCCACGGGATCTGTTGAGCTCATTAAATTCTGGACAGAGTGGTTAGCTCAGAAGGCTGGGGTCTGGTTTTTGGGATTCCAAAGTGGCCATCTTGTTGCATTTTCTCAAAGGACACAGGCCAATCCTGGGGGACCATTAGGAAGAAGTTTAAAGAAAATTGAAAAGTGCACTGGTGAGTACAAGGTCAGGAAAGCTGCACTGAGAAATGTTTTCTTCCTCCCGACACGGCACCTGCTCAGTCTCTGGGGGTAACAAGGGTTGTGCTCAGAGCATTTTACCGGGAAACCTTGCCCCCTCCACCCGACAGCCCTGGTCTTGCCCCTTCAGACTTCTTTTGTTCCCTAAATTCAACATTTAAAAGGAACCTTTGAGTCTTTCTAGGGTGCCCAAGCTCCTCAGCCCCTCCCTGGAAACCCCACACAGGGTCGCTATGGGTTAGAACCAACCTGACGTCACTGAATAACAAGAAGGGTGCCCAGGGAATCCTGGTGTGGCACTGTGGGATAATGCGCTGGCCTGCAAAATCAGTTTGAACCATAAAGTCGGCAGTTCAAACTCACCAGCTGCTCCTAGGAAACCTTAAACAGGCTCACTATGGGTTGGAACTAACCCAACAGCACTTAAAACCCCACAGGATGCCCCTGCTACCATTTTAATATGGTGTCATTTGAGGATTGCAGAATTCTTTAAGCAAGAGAGTTGGAGACACTGCCATCAGAAATGCTGAGAAATACTAGCTTCCCAGTTTGATATTTTGTTAAATAAAGAAGCCTATACTTTTTGTAGCAATATTTTTTGTTGTACCCTCATGTGTGTGTGTGTATGCGGGGGGGGGGGGCTTCAAAAAGTTAGTAGAAAATGTCCGTTTTTCTACAAACTTCGTGCAACCCTTACGTGTATGTGTGTACACACACATGCACCCACAATTGGTCCTTTGTAGCTGATGGTTCTGTGTGAATTCAACCAACCACAGCTTAAGAATATGGAAAAAAGGGAAAAGGAGGTCACAGTGAAGAGGCCCAGGCAATCCTTCAGAGGTTGAGAGAGTCTAAAGTGCCATCTATGTTGTATGAGGGATCACGTCTTCTAGGGCTGGCTTAAAGGACACGGGAGGATGTTCGGAGGTTATATGCAAACACAACACTATTTTATAAGGGGCTTGAGCATCCTCAGGTTCTGGTATCCATGGGAGTCCTGGAACCAATCCCAAGGATACCAAGGGAGACTGTATGTCTATATGGGCCTGGGCAGTGCAGTAGTTAAGTGCTTGATTGCTGACCAAAAGGCCTGTAGTTTGAGCCCACCAGGGCACTGCGGGAGAAGGATGAGGCAGTCTGCTTCCATACACTTGACAGCCTTGGCGACCCTACGGGGCAGACCACCTGTGAGTCGGGATGGACTCTACCACAGTGGGGAATGGAGTGAGAGGTGCCCGCTCGTGTGTGATTCTTGGTGGATACTTTGAAGGCACTTTACATTACTGTACTGCCTGTGGTCACGACATCGGGCCTTGGTTGCTATCTCCAGTCTTCCCAACATTTACCTCAAAGTCCACTTCATATGTGTCTCTCCCTGAGTACCTTCCCTGAAGCCCCTCCAACATGCTAGATGATGCTCTGATTTGGTTTTAAACTGTGGTCTGTTCTGATCCTCAACCTTAAATTGCCCATTCTGAGTTTCAGACAGCTTACTGTTACCACCCCGATTTCCACCACCCTGTAAAGAAACAGGCGTAGCCGAGACTTTCTTGGCAAGCTTCGTTACACCTGCCATTAAAGCACTGCTTCCCTGGTTCCAGGATAAACGGGATGCCTGCCGGTTCCAGAAGACCAACCGTCCAGAAGATGGCTTTACGCAAGTCCTCCCCGCTGCACGCGGCTCACAGGCGCATGGTGGTCAGCATGCCCAACCTCCAGGACATCACCATCCCTGAACTTCCGCCCCGGAACTCCTCCCTCCGTAGCGTCAGCCCCTCGAGCTGCGGCAGCGTCAGCACAGGTGGGGTCACCGCGTGGTTGAGGCTCACTTCTCCTTGGCTCCATTCAGATGTTGCTCATCACTGGAAACAACCACGACTTAGTTCAGAAGAATGGACGGAGTTTTCGATTTTGAGCAGCTCCATTATTTAAAATATTTTAGAGTGTTGATCTTGCAGACTGTGTTTACGGTAGAAAAGTATTTCTATCTGGGTCCTATTGTTGTCAAATGCCATTGAGTCAATTCTGACTCATAGTGACCCTGTTCAGGGTTTCTGAGGAGTGGCTGGTGGGTTCAAACTGCCGACCTTGTGGTTAGCAGTGCAGTGCTTATCCTACAGGGCCACCCGATATCATTGCTCCAGCTCTGGTAGCGCAGTGGTTAAGTGCTCCAGTGTGAACCGAGAGGTTGGTGGTTGGAACTCAACTGTTCCACAGAGAAAGCTGTGGCAGTCTGCTTCCTTAAAGATTGGTGTTGTGAGGTGCCATCAAGTGGGTACAGACTCATAGCGACCCTATGCACAACCGAATGTAACACTTCTGGTCCTTTGCCAACCTCACAGTCATTGCTACATTTGAACCTACTGCTGTTGCCACCGTGCCAATCCACTTCGTTCTCCACTTCGTTGGGGGTCTTCCCCTTTTTCTCTGACCCTCCACTTTACCACACATGATATCCTTCTCCAGGGACTGGTCCCTCCTGATAACATATCTGAACTAGGAGAGATGAAGTTTGTCCATCCTGGTCTCCAAGGAGCACTCTGGCTGCACTTCTTCCAACACAGATCTGTTGGTTCTTTTGGCAGTCCATGGCACTTTAAATATTCTCCTCTAACACTATAACTCAAAAGCACCAATTCTTCTATGGTCTTCCTTATTCACTGTCCAGCTTTCGCATGCATATGAGGTTATTGGAAATACCATGGCTTGGGTCATGTGCACCTTAGCCCTCAAATTGACATCTTTGCTCTTCAACACAGTAAAGAGCTTGTGCAGCAGATTTACCTAATGCAATACGTCATTTGATTTCTTGACTGCTGCTTCCATGAGTGTTGATGGTTGATCTGAGCAAAGTGAAGTTTTGGACAAATTCAACCTTTTCTGCATTTATATGGATGTTGTTTATTGGTCCAGTAGTGAGGATTTTTGTTACATTGAGGTGCAACCCATACTGAAGGCTTTTATCTTTGATCTTCATCAATGTTTCAAGTCCTCTTCGCTTTCAGCAAGCAAGGTTGTATCATCTGCATATTGCAGGTTGTTAATGAGTCTTCCTCCAATCCTGATGCCACGTTTTTCTTCCTATAATTCAACCTCTTGGATTATGTGCTCAGTTTACAGGTTGAGTAAGTAAGGTGACAGAATACAGCCCTGGTGCACACCTTTCCTGATTGTAACCCATTCGATGTTCCCTTGTTCTGTTTGAAAAACTGCCTCTTAATCTATTTACATGTTCCTCATAAACACAATTAAGTGTTTCGGAATACTAACTCTCCGCAAGCTTGTCATGATCCACACAATCAAAAGCCTTTGCATAGTCAATAAAGCACAGGTAAACATTTTTCTGGTATTCTCTGCTTTCAGCCAAGATCCATCTGGCGTCAGCAATGATATCCCTCATTCCACGGCTGCTTCTGAATCTGGCTTGAACCTCTGGAAGTTCTGTCAGTGTATGGTTGCAGCTGTTTTTGAATTATATTTAGCAAAATTTTACTTGCGTGCGATATTAAGTGATATTGTCCAATGATTTCTGCATTCTGTTGGGTCACCTGTCTTTGGAATGGGCACAAATATGAATGTCTTCCAGTCAGTTGGCGAGGTAGCTGCCCTCCAAATTTCTTGGCATAGATGAGTGAGCGCCTCCAGTGCTGCCTCAGTTTGTTGAAGGATTTCAATTCCTGGAGTCTTGTCCTTTGCCAATGCCTTCAGTGCACCTTGATCTTCTTCCGTCAATAACATTGGCTCTTGATCATATGTAACCTCTTGAAACAGTTGAACATCAACCATTTCCTTTTGGTACAGTGACTCTGTATATTCCTTCCATCTTTTTTGATGGCTTTCTGCATCATTCAATATTTTGCCCATTGTTGTTCAATGTCGTCAAGTTGATTCCAAACCATAGCAACCCTGTATAGGGTTTCCAAGGAGCAGCTGGTGAACTTGAACTACCTCTTTGCAGTTCAAACAACTTTGCAGTATATGACGCATTAGCCCACAGCGCCACACCAGGACTCCATTTTGCCCATAGAATCCTTCAATATTGCCAGTTGAGGCTTGAATATTTTCAGTTCCTTTAGCTTGAGAAATGCTGAGTGTGTTCTTCCCTTCTGGTTTTTAACTCCAGGTCTTTGCACATTTCATTATAATATTTGACTTTGTCTTCGCGATCTGCCCTTTGAAATTTTCTATTCAGCTTTTTACGTCCTCATGTCTTCCATTTGCTTTAGCATCTCTGTGCTGGAGAGAAAGTTTCAGAGTCTTTTCTGACATCCATTTTGGTCTATTTTTCTTTCTTGTCTTCCTTTATGATGAACTTGATCATACAGGAAGGGTCTAATGTATCAAATCTGTACTTCAGATGATTTTCTAAATTCAGGTGGGATATGGTCAAGGTCATATTTTGACTCTTGTGGACTTGTTTAAATTTTCTTCAGCTTGGGCCTGAACTAGCATAGGAGATGTTGATGGTCTGTTCCACAGATTGTCGTGGCCTTGTTTTGGCTGATGATATGGAGCTTTTCCACTGTCTCTTTCTACAGATGTAGTTAGTTTGATTTCTGTGTATTCCAGCTGGTGAGTCATCTTTTTTGCTGTTTAAAAAAGGTATTGGCAATGAAGAAGTCATTGGTCATACAAAATTCTATCATGTGATCTCTAGCATCATTTCTATCACCCAGGCCACATTTTCCAACAATTGATCTTTCCTGTTTGTTTCCAACCTTTGCATTCCTTTCGCCAATAATGATCAATACATCTTGATGGCATATTTTATTACAGCCTAGGAACCCTTTGGGGCAGGTCTACTTTGTCCTTTTGACACTTCGCAGTGGGTGTGTCAGGGCACAGCCACTGCCACTGAATGGTCGATGCATCAACCCGCCAGGACACAGCACAACGGCCCCTTAGGGTTTCCAGGACTGTAAATCTTCACTGGGGCAGACTGCCTCATCTTTCTCTTGCTGAGTGGCTGGTGGGTTCGAACCACCGACCTGTGGTTTGCAGCTCAACGCCTAACCCAGAGTGCTACCAGTGTGTCTGAATACACACGAGGGCCTCTATGAGAGGCAGTGATAGGGACCAGGGTTTATTTTTATTTTATTAAAAAAAAACCTTTTAATTGTGAATTGAGTGAAGTTTTACAGAGCAAATCATCAGTTTTACATTCACCAAAGTATATATTTTGCTAATTTAAACAATTTAATGCATATATTCTTTTTTCTTTTGGTTTTTATTGTGACTTGAGTGAAAGTTTATAGGGCAGATCATCTGTTTTACATTCAATAAATCGTATAACTTGTTTCAGCTCAATTTAAACAACCAAAGGGCAAAGGGCA